GAAATCTAATAGACAAGACAATCAACAATTTGTGAAATGCACAATTCGCTTTTATAACTCACAAATGTATGTATTTTTAGTTTTCTCTTTAATTATTTAATCTTCTTTCTTAAATCGCCCTCAAATTTAATTGTTGTAATTATAACACTTTTTGTCTAAGACACTGAAGATTGTAGGAAAAAAAGGGGGAAAGCAACCAGCAGCCGGCAAATGGTTTTTTTGCTTATGCATCACCACGACAAAATGGGTTTTTCTTTACCGCTATTGGTGCATTATTGATAACTCATCGGCATGACTCATCGAACATGTGGAGAAGTCGGGAGAGCTATGAAAGGAAAAGTCGATAGAGTGAGAAAGGACCGATGGTAAGCTAACCAACCTGAAAAGTGATAAGGGTTCCAGCGATAGGCGGATTAAGATAAGTCTTCCAACATACACCCTACATTTTAGGAAGGCAGTTACCTTATCCCCAGGACACAGGAAAAAGTGATAACCGTTCCTAGCAGTTTTGTGCATTTTGCACATTGCGTACTTCTATTTGCACACGATGTAATTTTATGTGTTCAACGTGTAATTTTAGAACAAATTTTTGTGGACTTCACACATGTTATTAAAAATGAGATACAAGAAGTGATCTGAACCGTTGGGACTAAAATCTGGCCGTGAACAGCTCAGGAGCGATTCATCTGATGACCGCTCCTGCCCCTCGTCCAGGAAAAGTGGTTGTCAATCAAGGATCAAATTGCAGAGTGGGACATGTTACTCACCACATCTCAGGAAAAGTGGAATTATTAGCCATTAAGGCAATGAAGGAGAGAAAGTGGTCCATGAAATTAACAATAAAGATCAGACCAATTAACAGCCATATTCTAGATGGAATCTTTGGCTAAAGGATGTTGATAGGACCAAATCCCGCAATATTATATTTAACTCCGTGCATTAATCGTGCAGCAATAATGCACATAGGTTATATTTACTTGATAAATAACCAGAGTAACATTTTTGTATTTCATTTACATCAAATCAAACAAAATTATTTAAGTTATTGTAAACTATATATCTTGACAAACTTATACACTTTATTCAATTTGAAAAGACATATTGTCTTGAAAAAATGGAGATTTTTTACTGCAATTTGTTTTTGGGTGGAAATCTGAACAGAAAGCTCAAATCAAGATTTAATCTGGCAGGCGGAGATAATTTGTACTGTCTGACAAGATTACACTCCCAACTAGTGTGTAAAGTAAAAAATAAAAATCAACGTGTGTAAATGTAAAACAGGAAATTGGATCATTGGAAAAGGAATCATTTTCTCCTCTTGCATTACCTCATTATTGGCGTATGAGATTTTTTTTCCCCCTTCTCTGTAATCTGAGAATCATAACAACACAGGCCAAATTAAAAATTATTAGATAGGTACCCAGTGCAATCAATTATTAGATAGGTTAAAGACTTTGGAGGGTCCAAAGACACAACACAGGCCAAATTAACAATTATTAGACAGGTACCCAGTGCAATTATTAGATAGGTTAAAGACTTTGGAGGGTCCAAAGACTTTGGATGACATGCAGAAATCGAGAAATGGTCCAAAGACTTTGGAGGTGACATTGGATCAAGGGTCTCAAGTCTAACAACCAACCTCCCACAAAAAAATGAAACAAAACAAAATAAATAAAAAAGACTTCATCCTACCAAAGAGTAAGTGAAGTCAATTACAATACTTTCAAATATTCGTCCCATCCTATCACATACAGTTTCGTGTCCACAATAAAATTCCAATTTCAGTTGGTCAAGAAATGCAGTAACTCCTATCTATATTCCATGTTCGATTCAAATGTTAGTCTTTGGGTTGTAAACAAAATTGGCTGGAGGATCCTGGTCTTGTTTAACGAGGACGGGAGAAGGAAAACTTTCCCTGCCTTCGATCTGCACGGGTTTGATTTTCATTGATATTCATCCTTGCTGCGGCCGTCCTGAGTGATATTTTAGTGCTTTTGTGTGGTATGACCTGCAACATATGTAGTCATAATTTTTCAAGTCAAGGTCTGTTGAAGTTGAATAAATCACACATGCTATTATTTGGAATGGACAGAATTAGTCATAGATCATAAAACGAAAGTGAATACTTGTGGTTTAAAACAAAAAAAAAAAAAGGAAAAAAAGAAAAAGTCCATCCACAGGAAATGAAGTGGTATTTATCACCCCGAGGCACGATGTAGTCCTGCAAGTTGAAAAGAAAAAACACACAAATAATTAGACATCATAGATTTTGTCACAGAAAAATGAAATTCAAGTTCCAAAGTCAATTTTTGTAAGATTAATCGAAATAGTTAGATCCTTAATGCTACTTCTAAATTTCAGCAATAAGGAGCTAAGGTGTTTTGGAACTTTATTTTATTATTATTTTTTTAATTTTTGGGTCTAATCAATCGGAAATACACAAACGAAGTAAAGTCTCAATAATATGGCAGGCAATGTCAATTTCAACAGGAATTTCCGGGCCGTCTGCCTGGCGGAGGAGAATAATAATCCATCAAAATCAAGTCTATACTCTATATGGCCATGTGAAACTATCAACTGCAGGAATCCATCCATCCATCCATCGCCATACAAATCCAATCCCCCTCCATCCATCTTCATCTTAGGAGTAGAGCTGTTAAACGAATCGAGCTGTTTGGTAGTTTGGTTCGTTTCGACTCGTTCGTATTTGTGAAAGACTCGTTCGAAATCTTAAACGAACCGAGTTCGAACGAATTTTTTTGTTCGATTAATAATCGAGCGAACACGAGCATGTTCGCGAGTTTTAACGAACGTTCGCGAACATGGACATAATTTTTATTTGACAAATTTTATGGTTGGACTTTTATATTTGGAGGACAAATTGCTTTGTTTTATTTGTTATTTTTATGTTAATGTTAGTTATATAGTTAATGAATAATAGGATTTAGTCACTTAGTGCTTTTATTGATTTTGAGAATGATTAATGATTGGTATGACACATTTAAGGCTTAAAATAATTTGGATTCGAACATTTCTAGCATGTTCGCGAACGGCTCATTTATGTTAAATGAGCCAAACACGAACTCGAATTCGAATATGAATTTTGTTTAACGAGCCGAATACGAATACAAGTTTGGAGTTCGAAAATTAACGAACGAACACGAACGCTTAACGAACAGAGTTCAAACACGAGATACTCGGTTCGATTCGACTCGTTTACAGCTCTATTTAGAGATGTGGAAGCTACTCACTTGTTACTTGCTATGCCTATAATGTCCAGCCGCCTATAAATTCTCCACAATTTCTACGCCTATAATGTCCAGCCGCCTATAAATTCTCCACAATTTCGTATCCTCAGGTCAATTGCCTTTGGCATTTCATATTTCGTGATCCCATCAGCTGAAAACTATCCAAACACAACTTTTGTGTTGGGCAAACTAGCATCAACACCATATCTATTAACTGCAGAGATCGACCATGGAAACGACTGGTAATACTAAAAGCCATTTTAGTCCAGATCAGAAGCGGCGGTTACTGGGGGAAAAAGCAGCTGTGTTCTTATTTGGTGGAACTCTGTTTCTTGCGGTTTATTTAGGAATAACGGGGACTTCCCTTTTCTGCAATTCTAGGCAGCAGAGTGGCTTAAGCTCACAGGTTCAAGCCTTCTCGACAGAAGGTTCATACTCAGCTGAGACGATGCTTCAGCTCAACGCCGCCATTGTCCACTATGCCACATATCCCCAAGTCCCGCTACTATCACGGGACGAGATCCAAGTTGCCGTTGACGTCCTCAAAGCTAAGTCTCCATGCAACTTCCTCATCTTCGGACTCGGCCACGATTCCCTCATGTGGGCTTCACTCAACCCTGGTGGTACAACGTTATTCCTAGAAGAAGAGCCCAAGTGGGTCGACAAAATTCTCAAGGACGCACCGCATCTTCGTGCCCACGTGATCAAGTACCGGACTAAAGTCTCCGAGGCGGATGATCTCCTCAAAGAGTACCCGAACCAACCGGAATGTTCCGCCCAGAAAGCTTTCCTCCGCGGAAATGAGAGGTGCAAGTTGGCGCTGAATATGTTACAGGAGGAAGTTTACAACCAGGATTGGGACCTGATCTTGATTGATGGCCCGATAGGGTTTTTTCCGGAGGCACCAGGGCGGATGTCGGCCATATATTCAGCGGCTGTTATGGCAAGGAATAGGAAGGGATCGGGAGCGACGCATGTGTTCGTGCACAATGTGGATCGAAAGGAGGAGAAAACTTATACGGAAACGTTTTTGTGTAACAAAAATCGGGTCAAGATCGTTGGGAAGCTTGGGCACTTCGAGATACCGCCGGCCGCTGATTCCAACCCACATTTTTGCTAGAATATTGGTCCGTCTGATGGTGTGCCTAAAATTAATATTACTGTATTGTCAACTTTCTACAAAAATTGTTGTGCATTAAAAAGTATCTTGAGAATATTTATAAAATTCTGTCACCTATTATGCGCCACCCACAACATCACTAATCTTGGATGCGAACCCACCAACAACCGTGATCCTCTATCCGTTATATCTATTCATTTTTTCTGTTTAATATAAAATTACGTAGTTCCACTAACTAATATTATTGATGTGGCACATAACATTGAATGCATATTTAGGGGTGTTTAGTAAATGGGTTTCAAATTTAATAATATCCATAAATAATGTCTGTTTACGCCTAACTGTACCCATAGTCTTCTACTTTTGAATTTGACGTCGCATGATTTAGATGAAATTAGACAAGCATTTGAGGACGAGATCCTTGAATTTGTTAAAATTGCAATTACATGCAGTCATGTTGATTAAAAAAAAGGCTATTCATGCTAAAATTGAATTTGAAATCCAATTATCAAACACCTCCTAAATATGCATTCAATGTTATGACCACATTAGCAATATTAATAAGTGATTACGTATTTTTCCATTGGACAGGAAAAATAGATAGATATAATGGACAGAGGATCCTCTCTACAAACAACCATGACCATCCTCCCCTGCTAGCGACCAGCACCTACCGTCACGTCAAGCTTTTCCTCCCTCTCTTATCCTTTATTTTTCCCCTCCTCCTACCTTTGGTCATGCTACCAGCTCCTTCATCCTCCCCCCCCTCACGCTTTCCCCTTCCCCAGCTGGTAGCATGACCAAAGGTAGTGAAGGAAAATGGGGGTTGTAGGGGAAAGAGAAGAAGGAGGGAGGAAGGAAAGAGAAGGGGAAAGGGAGGAGAGGGAGGGAGAAAGGAAAAAAAAAGGAAGGAGAAGGGAAAGCGAGGAGGTGGCGGCAGAGGTGACGGCAGGCGATGGTGGGCTAAAGTGGGGATGGAAATGGAGGTGGTAGTGGTGAGCTGAGGTGGCAGTAGGTGTTGGTGGGTTGAGGTGGTGACACTAGCAGTGAAAGTGGGAATGGTTAGACGATGACATGTTTTCATACTCAGCTGAGACGATGCTGCAGTCAACGCCGCCATTGTCCACTATGCCACATCTCTCCAAGTCCCGCTACTATCACGGGACGAGATCCAAGTTGCCGTTGACGTCCTCACAGCTAAGTCCCCATGCAACTTCCTCATCTTCGGACTCGGCCACGATTCCCTCATGTGGGCTTCACTCAACCCTGGTGGTACAACTTTATTCCTAGAAGAAGAACCCAAGTGGGTCGACAAAATTCTCAAGGACGCACCGCATCTTCGTGCCCACGTGATCAAGTACAGGACTAAAGTCTCCGAGGCGGATGATCTCCTCAAAGAGTGCCCGACCCAACCGGAATGTTCCGCCCAGAAAGCTTTCCTCCGCGGAAATGAGAGGTGCAAGTTGGCGCTGAACATGTTACCGGAGGAAGTTTACAACCAGGATTGGGACCTGAACTTGATTGATGGCCCGATAGGGTATTTTCCGGAGGCGCCAGGGCGGATGTCGGCCATATATTCAGCGGCTGTTATGGCAAGGAATAGGAAGGGGCCGGGAGCGACGCATGTGTTCGTGCACAATGTGGATCGAAAGGAGGAGAAAGCTTATACGGAAACGTTTTTGTGTAGCAAAAATTGCGTCAAGATCGTTGGGAAGCTTGGGCATTTCGCGATACCGCCTGCCGCTGATTCCAACCCACATTTTTGCTAGAATATTGGTCCGTCTGATGGTGTGCCTAAAATTAATATTACTGTACCGTAAAATGTTTACTATAATTGTTGTGTATTAAAAAGTATTTGGAGAATATTTATATGATTCTGTCACCTTTTACGCGCCAACCACAACGTCAATAATCTTGGATGCGATCCCACCAACAACCATGACCACCCTCCCCCACTAGCAACCACCACCTACCTCCACGTCAAGCTTTCTCCTTTTTTCCCCTCCTCCAGCCTCTGGTCATGCTACGAGCTGGGGAAGGGGAAAGGGAGAGGGAGGCGGGTAGGATGAAGGAAAATGGGTGTCGTAGGGGAAAGAGGAGGGAGGAAGGAAGGAGAAGGGGAAAGCGAGAGGGAGGAGACGGAGGGAGAATGGGCAAAAAAAAAAAAGGAAGGGGAAGGGAGGCTAGACAGCTGATTGCTTCAGCTACGGAAATGGTTGGGTACTACCATTTCATATAAGTTTCCTATAATTAGTGAATACATAATTCGCTTTTATAGCTTGCATGTATTCTTAATTTTCTGTCATACTATCAGAAATGGTTGGGTACGACCCTTCATATAAGTTTCGTATTTAATTATTTAATTGTCTTTCTGAAATCGCTTTTACCGCTGTTGGTGCAATATTAATAACTCATCAGCATGACTCGTCGAATGTGAAGCGAAGTCCGGAGAGCTATGAAAGAAAAAGTAGATAAAGTGAGAAGGATCGATGGTACATTAACCAGCTTGAAAAGTGATAAGGGTTCAAAGGAACCGCTGATGATTATGATAAGTTTTCGACCATACACCCTACATTTTATGAAGGTGGTAACCTTATTTCTAGGATATAGGGAGAAGTCCTTATCAATCAAGCATCAAAGTGGGACATGTTACTCGCATATCCCGGGAAAAGTGGAAGTTACCAGCCATTAAGGCAATGAAGGAGAGAAAGTGGTCCATGATATTAGCGAATAAAGATGAGGTCAATTAACCGCCATATTCTGAAGGGAAGTTTTAGCTATAAATACCGGGAGATGTTCCAGAGAAGGGGACCGCAATTCGCATTAGAGAATGAACACATTTAGTGTCTGTTTGATAATATAAAAAAGTGCTGAAACTGAATTCATTCAGACATTCAGATGTTGTGAGTGTTTGATAAATAAAAATTCACCTGCTGAACTTATTAAGTAGTGCTGAATTTGTATGTATTTTTTTCAGCACAAGAATCGTAGCTGAATGCTTAATTTGATAAGAATCAAGACATTTACTTCAACTACTTTATCTTATCTACCAAATATATCCCTGTTTGTTAATTACATTCAAAATCCTTATCTGATTAACAACCTAATATTCTCTATTCAAAATTTTTTTTTAACAATAGTATTTTTTTGAAGTAATTTTCATCCACAAACATTTATATTTTGATATATATATTTTTTGTGCAGATAAATATTATTTATGTGATGTAGCTTATCCACACACACGTGGCTTTATGACACCATATCGAAATATTAGATATTGGTTGTCTGATTTTCGAAATGCTTCTCGTCCAATATCAAAAGAAGAACGCTTTAACCAAGCACATGCAAGATTGAGAAATGTAATTGAACGTGCTTTTGAAGTATTAAAAGCTCGTTTTCCCATTCTTAAAACAATGAAACCATACCCTTTTCCCACACAAAGAAACATTGTCATTGTATGCATTGCTCTTCACAATCATTGTCATTTTCATACCTAACAATTTTAAGTTAATTAAATCATAGGTTCTATTTCCTTTTTGGATTAAAAGATAGAAGGGTAAAATTGTACAATTTAGCTTATTAAGCATTAAGTTATGAATATTTATCAAACAGTATAAATAGATTCAGTATTAAGATTCAGACATTCATATATCTCTTTTCAGTGCTTAAAATTCAGCAAATTAATTATTTCAGTATTCAGAATTCAGAATTCAAATTCAGTGTTATCAAATGGAGCCTTAGTCATGTCTCCTAAAATGTTGTTCTCTTTTAGTTTCTTGTTTCCTTAGATTTCCTTAGTTAATCATTAGGTTTTCTTTAAGGTCCTTCATGTTTTCATATTACGTGACACTGATTTAAACCTATTAGTGCAAAAAAAATTATAGACTGACAGTGTATAAAAATGTTTATCATAGATTTAATTCCATAAGTTAACCGTGTATTCACAATGTATATTTAATGCACATAGGTTATATTTACTCAATAAATAATCACATTAGTGTTTTCATATTCCATTTATATCAAATCAAACAAAATTATTTATGTTGCTGTGAATTATCTTGAGAAATTTATATAATTTATTCAATTTGAAGAGACATTGTCTTGAAACAATGGAGAATTTTCATTACAATTCTTTTTATTTTTGAAATTTGAATGATGGCTCAGATCCCAAAGAAGCTACAATGGCAGTTACACTTCGATCAGGGATAGTGCTGGATGAACCGGTGCAAAGATCTAAAAACAAAGCAAAGCAACAAGAGGAGGCATTAAATTAGGAAGGACAACAAGAAAATAGAGAAAATGGGTCTAACTCAAGTGACGATGCTACAAGTGATATTGCTTGAAGTTAAAGCTTGCGCTCCATCTATTCCGTTCCTGCAAAGGCTTACAAAGAAGGCAACTGATGCACTATATCAGAAGTTAGTGGATATGCTTAGGAAGTTACAAGTCAATATGCCTTTTTCTGAAATTTTGGCAAATATCCCTACCTATGCAAAGTTTTTAAAGGAGATAGTGTCAAATAAAAAGAAGTTAAAGGACTTTGCAGAAGTGTCTCTTATTGAGGAATGTAGTGCAGTACTTCAAAATCGTCTTCCAATTAAGATGAAAGATCCAAAGAGTTTTATTGTACCTTGTCAATTTGAACATATTCTTGTTGATAAATGTTTGTGTGACCTTGAATCTAGTGTTAATTTGATGCCTTTATCATTTTTTTAAGAAATTGAAATTTGCCAACTAAGTGCCTATTCAAGTGATTCTGCCATTGGATGATCGTTTAGTGCATTATCCAATGGGCATTGTAGAAAATCTATCGATTAAAGTTGATAAATTTTTCCTATTGATTTTATTGTTCTTTAAATGGAGGAAGATATTTGTATGCCTATTATCCTTGGTAGAGTGCTCTTAGCTATGGGAGGAGTTAATATAGATTCACTTTAAGGAAAATTAACTTTAAGGGTTGGCAAAGAGAAAGAAGAATTTAATATTTTTGAATCCTTAACATACCCTTCGTATGAGAAATCTTGTTCCTATATTACTGCTAGTGACGATTTGTATGGTGAAAGATATGTCTTAGAGTAGGATGCAAGATTTATGCCTTTGCATGATCATTGCTCATATTCTTCTTCGGTGGTCCGAAAGCGCAATATTGATGTGAGCAGTTATACACTTCTACAAGCACATAAATTAGAGGATGTGCAAATATCTGAACCATTTCATCCTTCTTGACCTTATCAGCCCTGTCCGGCTGAAGAAATAAAATTTAGCACTTATCGCGAGGCAACCCGACTTCTTTCTAATTTTGTTTAATATTTTTCTTTGTTTGGAATTAATGGAGGTGTTAAGTTCTTTAAATTTTATTGCTTTCAATTTTGGGTTATTAGGTGGTGTGTTTAACCCCTATTTATAGTGTTCACTTGTTCTTTTAAATTGGTAGGATGACTTCCTGCCCTTGACTATTGGATGGTAACTAGCAATTTCTAGCCCACTATGCTTGGTCATTGGAATTCATTTGTTATTAGGAGAGTTTCACTTTCATCTTTTTTTTTTCTTGTTATTATTTCTTTATTTTATCCCTAACATTGAGGACAATATTGTATTAAGTGTGGGGGAGGGGTGAAAGAGTGAAGTGAAATTTTTGGTTAAAATTTTCAAATTTTTGTTCTTATTGTTGATTTTCTGATAGGTAATGGCTTATATTTCAAGTATGATTTTTGCTAAGTTTTATCTATATGAATGTTTTAAGTGTTAAATGGTGCTGTTTTAGAGTGTTTCTTTGGTGAATATGTGGTATTTTGAACTTTTTCAATTTCTAGCTAACTTTTTTAGGTATTGTAAATATTTTTCTAGCACTTTTCTTGTGAATTTGGCCTAATTATTAATATTAGCTCTGCATAATATTGGGATATAAAATAGGCTTTTGTGTTCTTATATATCCCTATATGCTTATTTTATTAATATAACTGTATTCCACTGGTTGTCGTTACCTAATAAGCGGGGTTCTTCACCTAAAAGTGTCGACTTTCACATCAAAACGTAGCGATAGCTAAGAGTATGTGATTCTTAAGCGGTGAAAAGTTTAGTAACTAGGCTCTTTCATTTAGGAGATGTTGGAGTTTGCGTCAAAAGACTTGAACGGCTGAGAATTAAGTACCTTTCCCTTGTTAAAATGTGAAGAAAGCTTAAGTGTGGGGGAATTTGAAAAAAAAATAGAAAGAGAAAAATAAGGAAAAACAAGAAGGAAAATATTATAATAATAGCCTAGGGATCCATGTGGTTATATTTTTGAGATTTTGTTTAATAGTTGGGACATTTGTAGGGAAATGTTTATTAAATATTTTATATACCTAATTTGGTTAGCCGAAGTTGAAAGGGTTTATCATATTAAACGCTAACTGAAGAAATGTCCTTTTGGTTTTCACTATTGACACTTGACATATGTTTAGAATGGTTGCTTTAATAATAATAGTCTCGAATATAGCCATTCTTTGTATTCAATAGGTTTTGTTCTTGTGTTTGAGGACAAGTACAGACTTTTTAATTTGTATTATTATTTGGTTCTTGTGCTTGAGGGCGTATTTTGTATTACATTTATATATACAAGTCACTAGTTAACTATATTATTTGAGTTTTATTTTGAATAGAAACTACTTAATTTTGTTCTTATATTGTTCTAAGAGAAAACGGACCAAAACGTGGCACAAAGAAACAATGGAAGAACAAAAGCATGATGACAGGTTCTCAAAACAAGTACAAGTTTAAATCCAAATATACCTGTTTGACAGCAAATATATAGGTTTAAAACATATATTGGATCGATCCCATGAGGAGCAACTAACATAAGTACCAGGTCTCTACTCTACTATTTAGACTAACT